CTGAGGTAGGGGAAGTGTGAAAGACACAGCTTTGCAAGGAAGAAGGCAGTTCAACTTCTGGCCAAGTTAGTCTGAAAGCATCAGAAATATAACTTGAAATCAAGACTGTGATTCAGGGRGTTGGGGTCCTTTGGAATAGATTTAGCACCTACACGCAAAGTGAGGAATGACTGAGTTGCCCAGGTTATACAACCTGCAGCCACTTACCTCGGGTTTGGGACAGAGCCTTGACAGAGCCTGTCCAATCCATGCACTGATGGCATTGGATTTAATATTTGCTTCCTGCTTTTCCTCYCCCTTCCTCATGTCACCTCTTTTCAGAGGAGGTTTTTAGACCTCCTCTAGATTCTCAGAGGAGGATCTAGATCTTCAGCTGACACAGTCACTAAAGTTCCACCATTTTCAACAGATCTATGACAATTTATACCATCAGAGAATCGGTCCTCTTATGAGATCTGCCAAATCTGGTTGATCTTTCTTTATCCAACAGCATATCCAATTTGTGACATCGCAGTCATCACTGTCTTGATCAAAAGTGGTGTCACAGGTGAGGTGAGAGACTGAAAAAAGCCTCCTCCCACACACTGCTCCACAGATGATTTTTGAATGAATGGCACAAAGAATTAGCTCCTAGTCTGAGTCTTTTCCAAGTCATCTGTCACCCCTAAATTCTGCTGTGGCATCAGTGAGCCCAGAAAATTCAAATACTTGAGAGCACAAAGTAATAAATTAGGCTGAGGTTTAGAAAATAGCAAATCTCTTGCCTTCATAAGCTCTCTTGTAGACTCTCTTTCTAGCTCACTCACCTCCACGCACTGCTGCTCACCACAGGCTTGGCACCAAGCGCGGACACGGTGGAACCCACTMTGTATTCACTCCAGAGGAGAGCCTTCTGGAGAACCAGAAGGTTAAGTATAGGAAATCAGTAAATCCACAAAGAAAATAAGTTCACACACAACATGCCCTCTAAGTCTGGCTAGGTAGCTCTTGGAGACTTTTATTATAACAAGCAACCTCCCAAAAGGTCTTAGCTGCCCTCTTGTCAGCTGGCAAATGAAGGTTACCAGCCTCCTAGTGAGCCATGGAGCAGCCTGGAGGGATGCTAGGTCTTCTCTGGTGTTTGGGGTAGCTAATGGGGTTCATATCCMATTGAGAAGTTTTGTGGGGCACACCACTGTCTTGTCACCTCCATGGTGTACCCTTGTGCCCAGGATCTCTGTTGCTTATWCTGTTCCACACTTTCGCAGAAAGTACAGCACTTTTTTCTGTTTTTCCTTCTCCTATCCACACAGAGGTGACTGAATCTGCCTCTGAGCTCCTTCAAACCTTGCGGACACCCTGACATTGGTTTCAGGTCCCTCCCCAACCTACATTAAGCACCCTCTGAGGACAGACCCCATCTTTGCAGCYTGGCAGCTCAGCAACCCGCTGCAGCAGCGATTTCCAATCTGTGCTGCCATCCCGTGGCTGCCTGCTTGGGTGGCCAGCACAGCGAAACAGCCTTGSTGACATCCATACAGGCAGACCACAAAAGGGACTGAGCAGTTCACAAAGGCACCCACAAGGACACAGGTATCGAGTTATATGTAATCATAGAGAAGCYCTGGTTGCAGTAGGCAAGCTGGGTTTTCTTCATTATCAATATTGATCACTTGCATTTAAAACTCAGCCTCCACTGACTAACAAGGTGTCAAGCAAGCAAGGATGTGTATAGTACAAAGCAGAGAGCCAGCAACAAGCCCTGTTACAGTAAAGGAACAAACTGGGTGAATTATAGCAGAAATCCACCTTCTAAACTCTTCCTCAAAGCTACCATGCCTTGTTCTTCCTCCCCACCAACTTGCACAGCTCGGCTCTCCCTCTGCTCCTGCAGGTCTACCTGGTGAACAGCCACAACGTGGGCTTCTGCGGCGGGTCCATCATCAACGAGCGGTGGGTGGTGACGGCCGCGCACTGCCTGCAGCCGGGTGACAACGTGACCGCCGTGGCAGGTGAGCACCGCCGGCGCTGGCATCACTGCAGGCTCCAGSGAGACGCCTGCTCTTAACTTCCGAGGAAAACAGCACTTATGGATCGAAGCAGGGGGATTGGGTGGGGATGTGYAAAGTGCACGTTCATAGCAAGGCCTTGGCAGAGTCAGAGAGGGACAAGGTGGCCAGCAAGCACGGCAAGAGATGGTGCCACTTCACAAAACAAACCCATCTTGGAGTGGAAAAGGGTATTTCTCCCTCTTAGTACCCAGCTGCTTCAGGCTACTGCCCAACAGCCTGCTAGGGACTCAGTGCAGGGCCCTGACCCTTACAGCTTCTTATAGCTGAGGCAGAAACATCTGAATTATTAGCATCTCCCACGTGTGAATACATGGCATAGGAGACACACTGTTACAGCCCCTAGAAGTACTGAAAAGAGGCAAGAAATTATCCTGCTTTCTGTTTAAGCACTAGCAAGCTTTGAGACAGTTTTGCTCGGAAACCCAGCACAAAGCCCAGCATTGTGCCTGCAACTGTGAGAAAGTACAAAATTCCCCTGCAAAATCTTCAGAAAGACCAGGCCAGAGGTTTTGYATTTGCATGCAACCTGCCCCTTGTTTCAGGCCCCATCGTGTGCCCCTCCATTTTGGGCACGTTATTACTGCCGGTGCTCCCTCCACGCTGCTCTGCAGTGCAGCTGGGTTTCCAGGAGAGCAAAGCACCGATTTTGCAGGGACTGCTCTATGCCTACCCTCACCGTGCACATTGCACTGGGAGCAGCTGACTCTCTCCTCTCTGCTGGGGCAAAACATCCAGCTTTGTAACAGCAGAAGGCCGCAAATGGATCATGGGGGCAGCAGATGCACTCCCATCCCATCCTCCCTGCATCTCCGCTTCCACCATAGATGCATATCCCCWGGACCCTTACAAAAACAAGCAGCTGCAGTATAAGATAAAAACCCTCTCAGAACCTCCCCTCTGGGTCTTGCATTTGCATCATAGAAGCACAGCCCATGAGGAAGTCAACGTTTCACAGGGRGTTGCAAACCCTCCTCGCAGAGCACCCAGCAGCACCAGGCTCCAAAACCACCTGCACCGGGTGGCAATGTTAGCACGAACACAGCGAGCTGCCTCACCTCTCCCGGTGGGATCCTCCTGCTCCCAGCAGCCGCAGGACACTGCTGGGGCCGGCGGCGCTGCAGATGGTGCTCAGAGTCCGTATGTTCTGGAGATGACAGCAAAGCAGAAACGCTGCTGCGGGGGTTAAACACAGCCCGTGCCTCTGGGGCTGCAGGAAAGCACGCAGGAGAAGTCCTCCCTCAGCACAGTGAGCTTGCAGGAGGGCTCAGGTCACACACAGACCCCACTACTGCCCCAAGCACCCAAGATATCAGTGCATTTCCCTCTCCCTCTCCCTGTTGTTGCACAAGGCAAGAGGAGGTAACAGGCGGCAGCTGCTCCCACACTCTGGAATCAGGCACACCTGAACCTTGCTTGGGGGAGCACCTGGGGGTACTGGGAGGGAAATGGCCATGGAAACACTTTGGCTGTTGGTGCCATCCCTCTGTCCYACCTGGAGAGTCTGCAGGTACAGAGGTGGGGTGGCCATGAGGAAAGTTGGGCTCCTGCCTCCTGATCAGTAATTCGTTTTTTGCAGCGAAGCCTTGTTGCTAGGGCCCCTCCTCCTGTGCTCCTGGGGCCCTGTTACCCCTTGTGTCCCTGAGAGGCTGCGAAATCCCCAGGATTTCCAGGTCTTCCCTAAAGGGGGAAGCACCAAAGTCCTCATGCCCCATCTGTCTCCTTGGAGGGCAGACTCTGCCTTTCCCCAGCTTGTTGCCACACTTGGTCTTAGAGTGGCCCGTGTCACTTGGCATTAAGTGCAGCAGTTGGAGACCTAAGGCCAGGGGGCTGGTAGCACAAGGAAACTTCTAGAGGCTTCTGAGAAGGTGGCAAAGCAGACCTGAGCACAGCAGGGACTCGGGGTCAGGGCGGACGTCAGGTGACAACCATGTGACAGCCCCATCCGCACGTGTCTCCGTAGGCGAGTACAACACGAAGGCCGAGGACGCCACGGAGCAGCGGCGGCGGGTGGTGCGGATCGTGCCGCACCCCACGTACAACGCCACGCTCAACAAGCACCACAACGACATCGCGCTGCTCGAGCTGGAGGAGCCGCTCCGCTTCAACAGCTACGTCACCCCCATCTGCCTCGGCAGCAGGGACTTCACCACCAAGCTGCTCAAGTAYGGCCTGGGCACCGTCAGCGGCTGGGGCAGCCTGTACTACCGCGGGCGCGAGGCCACCGTCCTCCAGGTGCTCAGGGTGCCCTTTGTGGACCGGCCCACCTGCCTCAAGAGCACCTCCATCACCATCGAGCACAACATGTTCTGCGCCGGCTTCTCTGCTGGCGGCAGGGACACGTGCGAGGGCGACAGCGGCGGGCCCTTCGCCACCGAGTTYGAGGGGACCTGGTTCCTCACCGGCGTGACCAGCTGGGGCGAAGAGTGTGCCAAGCCCGGCAAGTACGGCATCTACACCAAAGTCTCCAAGTACATCAAGTGGATCAAGGACACCTCAAGGCTTGCGTAGGCGCATGAGGCTTTCCAGAAATTACTGCAGTTTAATAAACACTTCTCAAGGGACTCATTTTTGCGCTCAGAAGGGGTGCAAATCCAGTGCAAATGAGCCAATAAGAAAATAAAAAGCCTTTCTAATTACACCTGCCTGCATTCATTAACCCACCGGCCCCACCATGAGCAACCATGAGTCTCCAAAAGTCTCATGGTCGTGGAGTCATGCAGACTCCAATGCAGACAAGTGCCTCGCACATGCCCTGGCTGACAAGTCCCCACGTGGCCAAGTGATGCCAACAGGTCCCCATGTGGCCAAGTGATGCCAAAAGARCTGCTTGGAGGGACACAGGCWGCTCCCATGTGTACGGTTCAGATAGAACTGCAGAGCCTCTCAGGGATTTATTTAACAACTTTTTAATCTTTTAAATATAGATTTAACACAGTTTTTTTACATGTACATATACAATATAATTCATTTAAACTYGCAGTCAGAGAAAAATCTCCACTGTAATTTATAATACCATGTACATGAGGAGCCTACTTGAACAGCATACATAAGGTAATGTAACGTGGAGTGTGCAAAGTTTCAAATGTTAAAAATCTTAAGACTGTACATTCAGAGTTGCAGAACCAGTCCCTCTCATAAATTAATAAAAAGTGTAGATTTAAAACCATGGAAGACAAAAAAGTTTAAAACCATTTTAATATGCAACGTGTGCTATGTCTGAGACAAATATTTACATTTGTACCTCAAAATATGTACTGTTACCACAAGAATTGTTGCCACTATAAACAGCCCCAAAGTAACATAATAGAATCCTATTTTTTCCACCTAGCAAATGCATCATGACCAATTTTTAAACAAACAGAAATATAATTCAGTGACTTAAAACCTTCCTGGGATGATTTCCAGTGATTTAATGGTACTTGGGAGTGTTCTAGGCCATGCAGTGATGCTCAGTTCAAACTCAGCTGGTCACACTTTTGACGATGTAGGAGGGTTACTCGTGGTCCTGACCACTGGAACTGGGAAAATGCCCACAGCTGCAGAGCAGCGTTGAAGTCAACCAGGCCAAAATGGCCATGAAGTCATTCAAAAATTCCTCTGTGCAAAAATGGTCACCTCCAAAAAAAACCCTCCAGTATGTTTTAATGAAACAACTTGGGACTCCAACCAAGAATCCGTGTGTCACAAGTCCATGTCARATCATAAAGGTCCCCCATTCGTCCAGAGTAGAAAACATTTCATTTAGATGGGACAGAGCAAATTCACTACCGCATGCATACTATTAACCCTGTTTTTGATAGTCAGATGCTCTTTGTATACATCTGTTTAGAAGTCAAACCACCTGTACCTATGTACCACAAAAGCAAAGCTAGACAAAGAAATACAAAATTAAATTATGAATGTTCAATAGTCTTTTTCTTCCTCAAAAACCCAACAGACACATTATCATTAAAGATGTTGAAAAGTACAGTCTTATCAAGAACATCGTTAGTGCAAACATGGACATTTAACTTGGATTTATGGCACATGTTCCAAAAGTACATACATTTAATGTAAACTTCAACACTTGCTAGATACAGGTTGTAGCCTTGGAACACTTTGGAACCCTAAAGTGATTCATGACAACCCTGAGTTGTCAGTTCGACCTGACCCACACCTCACTGAAATCAATGGGGCTGACTGCAGTGGGCTGGAATCAGACCCTAAGTGCAAAAAGAGGATCTTGAGCATTATTGCATCTTCACATGTGAGTCAGCCAGATGATGCTCTTACAGAATATTACATTCATCCAGCTGAAGTAGATTTTTAAGAAAAATCCATTCATTAAATCAATTAAGCAGGACATACAACTTTTTTTTTTTTTTTTTTTTTTTTGGCTTATCAAAACTCAACTCTTATTTGCAATCAACTTCGACAGTTGTCAGTAGTCTTTAAGTAGATAAAGCCTTCAACCTGTATAGAAAATTTCAAGCATCTAAACAAAGTGTCAGGAAACCGTGGCGTACTTCGTTGATGGAAACGTGATGGATGTCATGGAAAAACAGCAGATAAAAATAATAAAATACTGTACTTTCCATAGGGAAAGAAAAAAAGAAAAGCAAAGAGCAGAGGATGGCTTCCTTTATGACTATGAGAAGCTGCTCAGGACCCCGGTCCCGTTGAGTGCAGATGAAGCTGTGGAGTTCTGTGAATGTGATGAATAGTACAGGACAACTCCAACTACTGTGCTATTTCTCTGTAACACTTTGCTGAAAGCTTCCAAAGAGCATCGAAAATAGGATGCTACTGGTTCACCCTTAATTCAAGGGGAACTAAACTTTCTTGTGTTACACAGGGCAGCATCTATAAAGTAATGAAGAATGATGTTAATAATAAAGCATCTTATTCCCAGGCATACATCCTTCCCTGTAATCATGTAACATTTGCACAACATCAGAAAGTGCACTCCCRTGGTTCCTCACAAAGCTGGGCTCCCATTTGCTCCAGTGAGAGCCTTGCCTAAAGGAGGACCACAAGGTTGGACACATTTTTGTAATCTCTCACCTCATTTTCACAGCACAGCCAGCTGGTCTTGTCCCTAGATTTACTATTTTGTCAGGCTCAAAATGKTTTTTAATGCACAGTTACAAAATAGCTGCTTTACAAAGCTGACTGGCAGCTCAGGTTGTAAAAGTCTACCCTGCTTTATGTTTAAAAGGCAAAAATATACATTACCTTTAATGGCCCCTGCATAATAATTCTGCTCGCATAAATATGAACGCCTGTTACTGCAATCATTAAAGTGCATGAGCAATAGTGCAAACAGCAGCGCTACATCTGCAAAACTGCAAGTGGCTTTTTAAACAGAACTTACACAAAACGTGCGTGTCTCGGCTAACGTGCTCACACCAGCTTGCAAGAGCTCCGGAGTCCAAGCTCTGCTCCAACCAGGCAAAATTCAAGCCAGGTGGCCCAGGCTGCCATGCAAGGGGTGCCTCAAGGCCAAGGTAGTCAAGATGATGATCACCACCAGGACTGATAAGCTGTGTACTCAGACCAGCAATACGCTCCCTACTCTATAGTGATCTATCGGATGGCAATGGTGGCCAGCGGGATCAGAGGATGCTCAAGCTCGGTCCTCCAGGCGCTACGGAGAGGGAGAGGATGCTTTGCTCTGCATTATTGCATGCCGAGAGCTCACACATCCCAAAGACTTGGAAGAGAGAAATCACCAAATGGGGGCTTAAACAAAATGAAGACTGGACTTGATGGTGGGAAGGAGGATCAGGAACCTGCAGCCTGGCCGGCGACAGGGTCACAACTGCCTTTATCCTCTGCCAAACAAGTGGGTGCGTGTGTCTGCCCCGGCCAGGAGCCTCCTGGACATGGCTCGGAGCGCTCCTCAGGTGCMGGACTCAAAATTCTGCCAAGTTCTCTGCTGGTTAGAAGGATGCAAATTTTCAGCAATGTTGCATTAATTTATATAATCTAATAAACAGAGGCTTTTAATACTGTTTCCATTTTTCAATTGTATCCCTTTTTTAGTCAGGTTATTCTAACTGATGCACATGAGCTTACTCCAAAAGAATCAAGCTCCATGCAACCCTCGCCCAGCAAGTGGAAATCTGAAACTTGCCCTTCTCTCCGTCTGGCTTTTAAAGGTCAGGCCAAAAAGGTTGAAAATGCATTGGCCTCATTTTGCTCAGAAGTCAAATTTCTGGAGTGAACAGATTTTTCCTGCATTTGTATTTGCTTACCACTTCTGAGCAAACAGAGCGCTCAGCATGAGGGGAGGCTGCGCTGCCCTGGCCCAGGTGTCATGTCTCTGCAACAAAAACAAGTCGCACGTCTGCGGGGATGGCCAACAAGGGCTTCATTTCTGCCATCCCAGTTCTCAACCTGCAACGACCTGGGTGCCACGTTATGGTTAAGAGAGAAGGTACCTTCCCCTGCCCTCACACAGGCACTGCCAGTTCTGCACATCACAGGAGCGCAGGGTCTTTGGCATATAAGCAACCAGGAGACCTGCAGAGATACTTYGGTTCCTGTCCTACTGTGAAAGATAAGCTTGGACCATAATTCTGCAACTGCAACCTTCCTAGAGACGTGCTGCTTACAGTATTGCCTCTCAATGAATAAAAACATCAAGCCATTTCACTGGGAAACACCTGACTGCTTTAGCAACCAGCAGCACATGGTTAAACCTTAGCAGTAGCTATCTTCTGCCATGAGCCATCCTCCACAAACTCGTTTTTCCATTTGGAGCTTTGCRTGGTCTGATCTGTAACACAGAACGATTGCTATGGCACATGAATTAGAAAATCCACCATGGATTTCCACGGGAGGTAGAAAGAAGCAAGGATCTATCTCAGAAGTTAAGGTCAGCATAGGGAAATCTAGCACACGGCAGGGTTGTTTTTCAAAAATGGTGCTTTCCAAAATGACCTCCAAACCAGGCATTTTTCCCCAAAATACCTCCTGGCTTATATCCAGGCCAAGATTTATATACAGTGTAATAAGGATTTCCTCCCTATCTTTGGAATGGAAGACTAGGACCAAAATACATATATACATACATACATAGATATACACGTATATATATGTGATGGCCAATAGCAGCCACTCATCTGTAAGGCAAGCTACCCATGCAACCAGGCAAGTAAAATAAGAAAAATAATCCACATTCCACATTCTCTGGATTCCTTTGGATGTTGAAAGGGTGTTTGGCACACAGGCTGCCCCTTGGCAGACCCGGTGCAGGACAGGGCATCTTCAAAGCTGCTACCTGTAGCCTGGTGAGGTATTTACCAAGAACATACCTGGCAACCTAAAATCATCCAAAGAAAATTCCCTATAACTTACTRTGCATTGCGCTGGCCCAACATAGGAAGAACAAGCAAGTGGGGAAGAGAAGCAGCTTGTAAGGCTGAAGGAAGTGGCCACCCTTGAGGTGGAAGGTTTTTGTTGGAGCTACACTTTAAATATAGAAGAAAAGGCCATGCTAAGGGAACTGTCTCATCCACTCATTACAAGTGCTCCTAGAGACAAAGGCCTTGCACTGAAATAATAAATTCTCTGATTTTTCTGAGTATGGGTGTGAAATTCTGGGGTTGCACACACATTTCTAACTTGCTACAAGAACATAGAACAAGCCATAATAAAGGTGCTAGTGCCAATGAAGGGCCAGATCTGCATCTCACCCAGCTCTGGGAAATGACTTCCGCAGACTCTAAGCCCTTGGCAAACCCCATCAAATTTATCACGTTTCTCCTGCCTGCACACAGAACAGTGTTTCCAGCAGGGCAGCTGCAAATATCTGAGCATTAGCGGCGCTCCTGCCCATCCCTACAGCTCTATCCCGGGTTTGGCTGCCAAAYTGAGTCACTGCTATTTCAGGACTGGTCTGTCCTTGCCCAGAATGATACTGGGCAGAGGGATTTGTGGCATCACTGGAGCAAGAGCCCCATCTTCTGAAGCAGCAGAACCCCCAGCACAGTCCAGACCATTTCCCCAGAGTAGCTGGTGCTATAAAATCAAACGCGGTGCAAAATGACCAATGTACAGAGGAAATAGGGTTGCTGAATACAAAAGAACTGTTTGAAAACCCATTTTCAGAGTGCAAGGGCAGCCTGGCTATAGACACATCACTGAAAAAGCTCTAGAAATGGGTAAAACTAAAATGGCAAAAATGCACCCTATGTCTGCACCCTACCACACTGCCTGAAGTGCATGTAAATTGAGATTCATGTCTCGAAATTCCATACATGGTCAGCAATATAGAAAAAGCATAGTGGTAGTCATAGGAGGGAGAATAAAGGCTGTGCTGCTACTAGTCCCTGGCAAGGTGACTGCAAAGCACCTGGGCAGTGGTCTGAGACTTCCTGGAGGAGCTTTCTRTATTTTTCCCTTGGGAAATCCTTCCCATTTTGTACTCAGTGACTTCATAAACCATCTTGGAGTTGTAAGTCTGTAGGATTTGGGGCATGTGACCATTGATGAAGTAAATCAATGCTCAAAGTTTAGTTTCATCTATTTTTTTTAGGATATGTTTATGGCTGGAGACACTTCTGGTACAGGCTGTGGTCCAGCACACACAGGGATCTGACTAGCAGACTTTCGACAAAAAGTCAGAAAATGATATTTGAGCAGATCAAAGTGAATCCTCAAGTGTGTTTAGCTGCTGATGGACCACTGCCACCAGTTACCCCCAGAGGTAAAATCATAAAAACTCAAAACTCTATGCAGTTTAACTCAAAACTCTGTGCAGTTTGACTGACCTGCAACAAAGGGAATAAAAAGCACTTCTGCATACGGCAAGGATTTTACTGAAAAAACAATGTTTCGTGATAAGAGATTTTAAGCCTTTCACAAAATTAATCAAAACAGTAGGTTTTGACAAAATGGAAATATTTAAAAGGAAATCTACTGTCAACATTTACTGTCAACATTTTAAATCATATTTTCCTAATTGGTGGATTTTTTTTTTTTTTTTTTTTTTTTTTAAATGGGGTAAACCTAATGGGTTTTCTGTTTTTCTGCATTTTTTCCCGAGGGCTGCAGCTCTCAGTCTCCTGTTTCGGGTGGACAGCATGGCAATGAGGCAATGCACGGAGCAGTGATACCAAATACATGGCAATGGCAACAGGCTGCTCTTAAGGCATTTTCTTGAGTTATCAGTTACACTTCTCAAACTGTTTCTATCTACATTTATGCGTAGAAAGTGAGAAATATGATTTTTGAGGCTAGAAGCCTTTCAGTGAAACCTGGTAAATTGCTTACCTTTATTCTAACAAGAGTTTCATAAATGCTGCAACAGGCAGCAACGACTGCAAGAGTGAGGCTTGGCATAGGGACAAATAGGCTAGACCCAAAGGCCGGCATAAAAATGGAAGCATTGTCTTTAGGGAGCTTTGGATCAGGCTTCGATATCTCGGTGGTGTGAGGAGATTTTGCCTATTCTTTCTATTCACACGGGGTTTGAACTACGGCAGCGAGCAGGCACATCAGTCACAGGAATCCCTGATCACAGACCCCGACTCYTCCCCCCAGATCTTGCACCCAATGCTCTTGCAATAAAATCTACATTGTTAAATACTCATTTTTAATTTACTAAGGACTAAATTAACAGGAAAGTCTTAAGGTGTTTAAAAAGAAAAAAAAAAAAAAAGCAGTATCTTAATTTACTACTTTGCAGGCTTTGGGGAGTAACGGCTTTTTTTTTCTGCTGAGGCAARTACAGCCAGTTTGGGTATATCAGGCATAACGCAAATCATGGCTTAAGAGACCTGATCCAAGTTCTGAAATAGTTCTCCTCTGCATTTTATATGATACCTGCAACTTTGGCATTCCGAAATCTACAGTCACCGACCACTATCTGCAGACTGTGGACAGGAACCCAGCCTTCTTTTCTTCTGTTCAGGTTTTTCACCAACCTTGGAACGACAGTCATATTAGTGAAAAGAAACAAATAATGCAAAAACGAGACACACACATAAAACCAACCAACCCACATGCTTTTTCTTTATATAAATATATATATTTATATATATATATATCAGCAGCAGGAGAGTTAAGCATCTCTGCTGCTTACCTAGGCTCAAGTGGGATGAATCTAGCCAGGGTGCTGTAGGGTAAACCCATGACAAGATTTAGGCAGATGGAAATACTCATGCTCACAAATGCCAGCCCTCAAACAGATTCACTCATGCAGTGAAGTCTGCTCTAAGAAAAACATTGAGCATGAGAAATTTATGCCTGGCACTGGCCAAAGCTGGCAAGAGGTGAGGAGCAGTGAGCAAAACTGAGATACTTCATGTGCTGCTTTTGCTAACAGCAGAAGGAACTTCCCTCAATGTGCAAGGAATGCAGATGTTGGCTAGGCACCTCACACGGGGCTCTCTGTGTCTGCACACATATAAGATGCCCACTACATAACTTGGATCCTGGTAACTGAGAGCATCACTCTTCCCCCAGGCCATATCCAGAATAAGGCATTAGTTGGCTACTCTCTCCCGCACAGAGACCCCAGGGAGAACTTTTGGGGCTGAAGGATGGGAGCAACTCAGAAATGAACCTGGAAAGGAAAGGTGGCCAAAACCCTCAGCCAAATCCCTGCAAGAATCAGCGGAGGGCCYGCTGCCCTCCAGAACAACGAGACTAATGGCTCAACATGGACAGTATCAGGTACAGTCATTTCCCAGGCAAAGCTCCCAGCTGCAAGGAGGGAACCAGCTGTGATTACTTATCTTGCAAGCAGCAGCTTTAAATATGACTGACTAAATTCTGGTCAGTAGCCATTAATTAGTTAAGGCTTGTACAGCCTTTTAGGGGAGGAAAATGCCCACAATTAGTCACTACTCCTATTAATAAATGCAGAAGAACCAAGCTAAGAGCTGATCTGGGGAATACAGAAAGTGGACCAAGGCAAAGAGCCTTCACCCAAAGCAACACTTAACATGAGAAGAGCATCAGGGTGAGGGATAGAGGCTGTTAAGGTGTTAATATTACATAGTTCACCCAGACACCAATGGTATAGGAAGCCCAGGACCCAAATGGTGCATATGGGCTCTTGTCCTACAAGGGGAGAGAAATCTCTGGCTTTCTGGAATCCTCTAAAGCTTCCCCAAAAGCTGCAGTGAGTATAGCCCGAGGCACAAGAGACTGCAACRTTACTTTGCGGGCTCTCAAAGGTAAGGAAAAGTAATCCTAGAATACCTACCACTGTCCCTCACCATCTTCGTGTAAAAGCTGAATTTCATCTCCATTCTTCACTAGCAGGTCCTCTGATCCTCTCCTCTTACAGTCTGCAAGGGCTTTATATCTTCCTGGAGACTGCAATAGTAACAAAAAAAAAAAAAAAAAGCCTTATTTAGTTATGTTTTGTATCAAGGAGCTGTTATTTCAGACTGCCACAGGGAATGTGATAGAGCCCTATCAGCATCCTGAATTAAAATTATTTCAAGAAACTACAGAAAATGCACCTTCCCATTCCCCAAACTGAGATAAGGAAAATTATGATACACATGCAAGACACATCCCTTACGGAGGCAGCAGATAGAGCCAGGCAAGGCTTAGCAAAACATGAAAGTCCAAAAATGGCACCAYCTAGTGCTTTCATACCGCTGCATTTCTGTTCATCTTACTAACCAGCTGGTTGCCATCCTCCTCCTCCGTGTCCGAGCAGTTGGAAAGATACTGGTTCCCAGACCACTCCTCCAGCCCCTCGCAGATTTCCAGCGACTGCGACATTCCCGGCCAGCCTGCAAGACAGGACACGGAGGCTCCAGGACCTGATGGACGGCATCCCCCGGGAACACCCCTGTCGGACACGTCCCCCTCGCCTTACTTCTGCTGGGCTTGTTCTGCGGTGACATGGGGACACTCTCCAGCAGAACGGGACTGGTACGTTCAGAGTCGTTTTCTTCCGAGCTTATGGAGGCTCTCTGCTGCTTCCTGGGGATTCAAATAATAAATATTATATACCATAAACCATATAATATATACCATATACTATATACCATATACCATATAATATGTAATAAATAATAAATAACATATAATATATAACATATAATAAATAACATATAACATATAACATATAACATATAACATATAATATATAATATATAATATATAATATATAATATATAATATATAATATATAATATATAATATATAATATATAATATATATAAATATCAGTTTTGATTTTTTAGGTATAACCAAAACTTGCACATTTTTATAAAATTGAATCAGAGATAATACTGGTAGGCTTTCATATTTATTTGGGGGAATAGTGGCAACCCAGCCTGTGGGCAGAACGCATGAGCGCCCCACGCAGTCTGCCCGGCCTGGGGGACTTACCCATCGCTCAGCTGCGAGGAAAGGGGCAGCTGGTCCACGCACGAGCTTGGCTGCTGCTTCTCAACTGTGGGTAGGTTGGAAACCAGTTTAACGTCATTGGCTGAAGCATTTTGTTAAAAACCTCACTTTGCACAACTCCTATCATTTTTATTTAGAGAAAAAACAGACCTAGYGCCTATTGCTTAGCAGCGACCCAGTGATGATGGATATTATGCTAGCACAAACCCACTGAAGCTCTCAGGACCATAATGTGCTTACAACAAGGCATCTGCTATGCATCTTGTGGAATTAAATCCACAAGAACAAATACGAAACAGTCCCCAAGATACTAAGAATGGACTTCTGTAGCTCATTTTCATGGGAGCACCTGGCCCTCCCAATGTTATGTTAGTGCCCTGCAACACGAGACCTCGCGCCAGTGTTCTGCTACGAGGCTTCTCCTGAGAATTAATTCCCTAGTGCCAATTAATGGATGTCAAGATTAGCCATGTGAAAATAGGAAAAGCTGTGCTGCAGAGTGCCTGCCACGGTGAGACTGGTTGAATGTACCTTTTATCAGCTCCTGCTGCTTGAACAAAATTTTTCTGATTTCGTTTAACCATGCCATCTTCAGGTCTACTGTTTGGGCCTGGAAGAGGAAAAACACTTTCCTGAACTCTGAAACACCCACTAAAGCACAGGAATAAAATCTTATTTTTCCATGCAGTGATTACCTGAAATCCACTTTCATCTAAACCTATCCATGACTGATTTAAAACATTCTTTATTTTTTGAAATGTTATGATCCCCACTATATGCAGGCAACAGAGATAGTGGTCTAGGAGCACTTCTGACAATGAAAGTCAGGAGAGCACCTGTGGCCTGTGGTCATTAAAGCTCAGCTCATGAAAACTATTAAGCACAGTATCTGTTGTTCAGCTATGGCTCTTTGTGAGATCTCATCTGGAATAAAAGACTCTGTTTCCAAGTAGCTCTCCTGTCTCTACTTTAAGATAAGCATCTTCAGTAATGGGCTAGACCCAGGGATAGCTCTGGAACCACAAACATGGCAAAGAAAAGCACATGGAAAGTCTGACAGTCTTCAAACAAAACAAATCTTCCACCAAAAAGGGAGACGTTAAGGTTAAACTAGATGTGGGGAGTTAAATCCTGGTGTGAGGATGCTTTGAAGCTACACACCTGCACAACATAGACCTCCTCTCGCCCACTATACCAGATTTCAAATTTTCGATGGTCTCCTTTAACATTCTCCGTTATTCCAACTGCATTCATCTGCAAAGAAAAAAAAGAATAAAAATTCCACGTACTACAAATCTTTCTATCTTTCCCATGATCTAGACATTTTGAAAAGTGCTCAAGAGTYCTATTTTCACCCAACCAAATGTATTTCATCAATGATGTTTTCTTTGGTAGGAACTGAAAGTTCTTCTCTGACCTGTTCCCACTGACTCTTGCCCACCAGCTTGCTGTGTCAGAAGAAGCTTTCTTAAAGTAATCCATGGCTCCTTTGGAGATTTTTCATTTGGGAATAAGTGGGACTAGCTGAAAAGTCATTTCCTACCTCTTTCAGCATTAAATTCCTCAGATGAATGAATGAATATATGAAMCTGTATAAAACTCAACCCCCCAACCACTCTCATTTCAGTTTCCAGACTATTCCAAGGGGTTATAGTGTCCATTTATAAGTCAATTGCAGAGCTTTGGCAAACTTTGTAAGCTTTACAGGAGAAGGGTTGTRTAAATTAGAATAAATTCAGTGATTAGCCATGAAAGGCCAATAGGCCGATCAGAAAGACCAAAAGTAAAGTGAAGGAAGTGACTGGAGCTAAGAAAACATTACAAGCTGTGAACCTTTCATCTCTGACAGATGTAGTTTAACCACAAGGCAGAAGAAGAGGCATTTTAAGTCCAGTTCACCCATGAAGAACCAAATCTGCCTTATCCTCAGGCCATATCTGAATTAACAAAGCCTTGTATTAGAGCCAAAGCAGTACAAGATTAGTTCAAWGTCTCTTGGTCCCTTGCCACCTCTGTAGTTGACACATCACCTCCAGGGTTTTGAGAGAAGGAGTAATGTTTGGATACTCAGAGTGAGATGCCATAAACCTTTCAGGAAAATAGGCACACAGGCTTCAAGGTGGCTGTGGCCAAGTGCTCCTGTGCCTGAGCACATGTTACTGCAAATTGCTTGGGGTAATTTGCAATCCTGCAAATTGCTTCCTTKGGGCTGGAAGGGCCAAAGGCACAAACAGGGAAGAGGCTACTCAGAGGCCTAGATGAATCAACAGCTCAGGCTGTGATTAGAGACTGAGAAACTCTTCAATAACAGGAGACTTCTGACCCGTCTGACGAAAATGCCATGCAATTATTGTCTCGCTGAAAAATCCTTTAATATCTGATATTGCTTCTTATTTAAAGAACAGGTTGTTAGAAATGTAATAAGCAGATGYGTTTCAAACCAGATCTAACAACAATGGTCTCACATGTAATAGGGTATTCAAAGGGATTGCATTAGATAAATCTAGATATACAAAGAAAGTCTTGGAAAGAACATCAGTTTAATATTGCTGCAATGCTCTGTTAATAAATGTGTACTCAGACTTTTTTTTCCCTGAAAGATTGAGATGATCTACAAATTAGACCACCTGGGCTAATTTCTGTTCCTAGTTGCTTTTTCAAATTGTTGGCACCCGTTATCAGTGACTAGGAATGGCCTCAGGACAGATGAAGCAAGATGCTCATTAGCTTCCCTCATTTCTTCCCTGGCATCAACAGCAGAGAACAGCTTCTGAACTTGGGAGGAAGCGTTCGCCTCCACATTTGGAAGGGATCATCAGTCATTAGGAATCAGCATTATCTCACTGCTCGTTGCCTCCCATCTCCCTCTCYCACCACGGTCCTCTCTCTGTGTTCACGTTTCACAGAACTCTCGTGAGCTCCCCTGAACATGAGGGCTGCGAGGTGAATAAAGTCAGCGACCATTTGCTCATGCGCAGCTTTACATACATCAGCACAGTTTTACATATATCAGCAGCTATTCAAAAACACACATGCTAAAAATCTGCGGCATAGTCTACGTATAAAGGCATAAAACTTTCGTAAAATTTTAGCCTGAGCAGTATATTTCCATATTGCCTTAGAAAGCCAGACTGGGCTCCAAGCTCGTTTCAGTAAGAAATACAACACTATGCTGTTGACAAGGCAGCCTAGAAAGCACCTTATACCAATACTGCAACTTCCAATTTCGTGCATCTCTCTTGGACACTTATACAGAGGCTTCTGCAATAYTGCCCAGACATCATGAGATTTGAAAGTCTAGCCTGGATTACCCACTATCAGGATGAGAAGGAAAGCACCAGGAAGAAATACATGATAAAAATGTCCATTCACCCATCTTAGTGTATTTTAAAATTCTATTTCCTCCTCCTGACCAGGATTTACTGTCCTCCCTTCAGCTGTTGGGTCACAGCACTGCAGATTAAGGTGGGTAAATTTAAAGCTCTAGGATGGCATTTATCTGCATCACCTTCCATGATGATAAAAGGCAGACTGATTTATTTTGCACTGCAATGGGTGAGGAAAAGGCACCCTCAACGTTACTGAACCTCAAGGATATCTGCTTCTGGCTATTTTCTAAAGTGTAAAGTATTACCCTAAATCTTGAAAAGGTAGTTCTCAAAGTCTTTTTTTTTTCCAAACATTCATCCCATTATACAGCTTCCACTGCTAAGCTTGCTTTCATTCTGAAACCCAGGAAAACATTTTTGCAAATAAAAACAATTCCCTGATACTATCATGAATCAAATGAATGTCAGACTCCAGAATCACTATTTCACCCTCAGGGCAGCAATTCTGAACATGTATGTGCCCGCACGTCACCCTGCAGAATCCATGCGTTCTCTCATCACCACCCTTTCGGCTTGGCAACACAAACAGCAGGAAAATGAGCCCTCCCAAGGCAAAAAGTAAGCACTGGCCACATTGCATGGGCCACCAAGTGCTGGATTTTCTCCTCCAAGAAGGCCTTCCCCATAGAGGCTCTTCTGTTCTTCCGAAAGCACATATGGCAAAACAAAGACCACCAGGAAAACACGCTCTCCGGAAACAAAATTATCCTGTTTGGGGAAAAAAGTCAGATTCCTAAACATATGGCCTGGGTTTTATTTTTGATACACAATTTGTAACGTGCACTGCAGCTGAAGAGCTTTATCTACCATCACCCTTGGAGGCACTGCATCTATCAGCTCCTCTCTCCTCAGACCCCACAAGAACCTACAAGTTCTAGCATCAAGACCTGAAGGGTCAGCCTCCAAGAAACATCTCTTTTTTTTTCCCACCTACACTATTTTATTATTAATCAAGAGAAAAAAAGAAAGACAGAGTACTGAGGCAAAATGATCATGGCCCCATTAGAAGTCCTCATCACACAGAGTATGCCAGAAGCCCTCTCTTTCAGAGGAGCAGTTTGGGATCTTTACTGATAATAGTTGGCATTTAGAGGCTTCGAGTAGTTGTTTCTCTCTCTCATGTTCTGCCGTAGGCATTTTTTTTTTTCATCTGGCAATTATATTTTTAGCTGCAATTAGAGCTACCAAAGGAGCAGGGCAATGGGAGAGGAAGATGTTTTATTCCATGTAGCCTCCAGCCGCACAGATGGCACCTGGGGACAGCCAGGTGCTGCCGCGCTCCCCTAGGTGGGCTTCAATCATGGGAGCCCTCAGAGCTTATTAAAACCAGCAGCAGCTTTTTCATGAATCTGGCGTTTCYTTTAGGGACATTACAGCTCCTAAAAGCTGAGGATGAGAAACTGTGCCTGTTACCATGAAAATATTCTTTGGGTTCTGAAAATTATTGATTCACTGCACACAAATGGCAATGGACTCAGCTGAGAAGTCCTTACTTTCAAAAAGTGCTTAAAACTGTAAGATGAGGTTTTATCATATCCGTCTCCGTGGTCCTCCCTCTTCTTGCAGAACACCAAGGCCTTCTCGTACAGGAAGAGGTGCCTCTGCATGGGCTTGAACCTGGCAAGATCCTTCATTTTGGTCGGACCTTTTCGGTGTCCCGTCCAAACACTGAAAGAGCCTTGCATCAACACTTTTCCTAGTTCACTCAGGTCCCCCTGGGGAGAGAATGACAAACGAGAGAAAAAAAAAAAGTTATCATTTAAAATTTAACAGCAGCATCCAAACAATAAAGGGCAACAGGGCTGAGCCCTTCCAAGGCACGTCCCTCTAAGAATAGGTCTTCCTGGAAGGATCAGGTGGTCTTTTTGGGAGTGATGGCACAGGGTCAAGAGAGAAGCAGAGATCTAGGACATTGGACTACAACTTCTCTAAGCGAAGGAGCACAAGTCAAAAATAGAAGCTAGAGAAACTTGCCCGGTACCTATGGGAAGTCCAGGTCTAAGGCTCCAGATAATGTATTTCAGCAGGAGATAGCAGATAAGATTTAACCTGAACTGAGCTCTGTGAGGATGGGGAGCAAAAGACACTTCAAGGAGGCCAGGACTGGCTCAAGCAGCTTAGATATCCAGCCCTCACCAGTACTCCCAAAGCCCAAGCAAGAAAAGACAACTACTTTAGCACAGAAAACTGGGAATCTGCCTCAGAGAGCRTGCTTAGATTAATGAGAAATGCTCCGAAGATATCCCAGTCTAAAATATAAGGTGAGCCATGACAGAACTAAGATGGGTGATGGATAAATGCTCTCTAGAACCACAACTTTAGTGCATGTCCTTTGGACACAAATACGTTCTAAACTCTGCAAATCAGAAAGAAGGCTGGCTCCTGGAAGAGCTTCTTGATCCCGTTCACTTTGTAACTCTCTGTTCCAGTATAGCTTTTAGCTCATACATCCTGGGACTCCGAAATYCCCCCAACATCACCTGGCCTTGTACAAGATCTCTGATTACCCAAATCTACTCACATCATATCCTGTTATTGAAATCTGATGCATAGAGTCATTGACTGACTTTAGCAAATCCAACATTGCAACAAGAGCTTCTTGAAGTTCCTGAACTCCATCGCAGCTCGTGCTGTACTTTAGCAGCTCCTGAAAATAGAAGGGGAAGAGCACGTGTCTGCAGCTGAACAAAGCAGACTTTTCCATCTCACCCAAAGTTTCCAATGCCCCAGGGCAACCTATACGGTGTGAATTTCTTTTTTCTTATGTCACTGGAAAGAGAGACACATCCTAAAACAYCACCAGCATTAGCTGTAGAACATATCCCAAAAGCATGTCCCATTTTTGTTCAGTTTCCTTAAAGACAGCGTTGGGCTGCAGAGGGACATCGCACTCATCTGAGCTCTTTGCACTGTGCTGTTCTTTTCCTTTGTAAGAAATGGCAAGCAARGCTCAGGTTTTCCATCAGACAGTTGTGCCTTTGAACAGGGCTGCAGATTATCTGCAGATTGGCAGACACAAGAAAGGGATTTTATAAAATCCAGAGTTTGCACATCAGTAAACAGAAGGCACCGTTGGGCACTATACAATTCATATAAAAACTTCCACTTCAGATCTCCTCTCCCCATCTACAACTTCATGACTACTCAGCCCTTGTTCAAGTTCAAACAGGGGTTCAATAACCTCTGAAGTCACCATCCCAGTTCTCTGTAAAGTGGAAATACCAGCACTGCTCTGCCTCAGAAGGGTGAACGTGCACAAGGATGCACGGGTTAAACATTACAGGCATTTTAACAACCCAAGGGAAAAAAAGAGATGCATCAGAATAGTGGTTTTCATTCATTATGCTCTTATGGTCATCTCTGATTCATTTTTCTTAGAAGTGTTTTTGTTGCTCTGCATCTGTGAACAAATTAAAACTATCTTTTCCCCTCAAAATAGCTTAATAAAAATCCTTTCTCTTTTTCCAGGGATGTGAATTTTCATCCTTACTAAATGTGGCTGCACAGAGAGCCAAGATAAGCAATATATCCTCTAGGCCTTGGTTTATAGGTAACCTTTAATTGAATAATAAAACAAAATGATACCTTTCAACGTGGCAGGTGACATACCTTCAAAAGTAACTGGTATTTTGTCAGGCGCTGTACTGGTTTGAGCAAATAGGAATCCAGGCCGAGTTTGTGTTCTAATTTTCTTTGGCATTCCTGCAACAAAGAATTCATATTGAGCAGGTTCTGCACTTACTGTAAACAGTTATTCCAACAGCATGATTAACAGGGTTTGAAAGTTTCAAAGATTTCATGAAGAAATGCCCCAGAGTGCCATTGTAGCTTAGAAAGTTTTACAAAACCATATAAAATAACATAATGGAAGGCTCTGCTTTAACCTCCTCATGAGCAAGAGGCTCCAGCTGCTACGTGGGGTATCCATGCAAGGGGGAACAGAACAGAGTGCAAAATCATGGGAGCACCGAGGGCTGCGTTTAGGGCGACCGAGTATCCCGGGGCGATGCCCACCTTTTGCAGGGCTACGCAGCTCACCTGGAAGAAGGTGCTCTCCGAACACTGCCGCCACAGAGACTCCGACCGCGGCTTATTCTGACAGTATTTTTCATACATCTGGAAATCCTCTCGCTGCAACGAGGGAGAAAGACAAGTCTTAAACACATGYGTGTGCCATCCTGCTGAGCAGCTCAAAAGGCAAACACCAAAACTGCAAATTTGGTTTTATCTCCGCTGCCTACTGAAGGCATGCAGTATTTAAAAGTCAGCAAGTTCRGATAAAGAAGCTGCTAAAGGACCGACATAACTTGCAGATTCCAGATCTTGCAGTGTGCAAAGAATCAGGGGAAACACTGGACTCAAAGTCTGCTTTGTACATGAAAACAGATTCACCCACCCTGTCCAGGAAACAAAATCCCACTCGCTCGGGTGCTCCCAGGCAGCCTTCCAGACTGTGCAGGAAAATTCTGCAAGAGACAGGGGAGAGACAAGAGAGTCATGAGCAAGATGCTACTTGGGCAGTTCATACTGCAGGAATTTGCTCGATATAAGAGGGCATCGTACTTGTTGTGGAAGTCGTATATCTCTGGCATGTTCCCGAAGAGGATGTCCTTCCTGTTCCTCAGCATGGGAGGCATGAGGAGGACCATGGCCGGGTTATCCATTTCAGCTCGGTAGCCCTGCAGGATGCAAGAGGGGTTCGTCACTCAACTCTAAAGTTGGCATCTCCTTGTAGGTATATGAAAAGAGACATGAATGGACTTCCATTATAATCTCATTTATTTATTTATTAATTTATTTAGTTCCTTAAACTCTTTTCTTGTAGTTCTCCAAGACCCCATATAAACGATAAGGCAAAAAGACAGACAGACGAGATCTGAATCTGAATGGTCCAGTCCATGGGGTTAAAAAATAAATAAATAAATAAAAATAATAATAAAAAAACCTTCCTTTTACTGATAAGCCCACATACACAGCTTCTTGGTGCATTTATACCTGAAAGAGCTACCACTACTAAGCCCACTTGCTGCACACACACAGTCGTGCCATCCTCTGTGGAGCTGCTCTCTGTCCACGTAAGCAAATTGCAGCCACTTAGTCCTCGCCCCGGGCTCGGTGCAGGAGCGTTCCCAAAGGAATACTGGTGCAGGTTAAACATATCTGCTGTCACGACCGGGGGACGCATGAGTGACAACTTGTTTGCAAGTGACACGCAGTTACAGACAACCTCGCAAGAAGAGGCCAACAAGGTAATTTGCTACAAAGCGGAGAGGGCTTGAGATCAAATACCAAAATCAATGAGCTTTTTGTCTTACAGAAGATGCTGCCTGAACACCAGGATCCCTCTCTCCTTGATTCCTGCTGTCTAAGGTTTTCTGCCCTCCGTGGCCTTAACTCCCTCCTGAAATCACAGCCTTTCTAGACAGGGGACTTGGCTAAGTAACAAGGAACAGCTATAAGAAGTTCTGCTGCACTACAAACTGTTAGGTGGAATTAGGAAATAAGGCAAAACCTCCTGCATTAAAACCACCTTACCATATCAATGCTAAATATTTTCTTGCTGTGGTAAATCCCAGGAAAGATAAATTCGAAGACTACAAAAGCTAATTGTAAAATAAGAAAGAGCCAGGCATCAGGACTATCCCTGTGAAGATGCTAAGGTGGCCATTGACCACAGCCCATGCAACCCATGATAGTCACCAAACATCGCACCAAACTGAGGTATTTTGACAAGAACTAGAGAGATAATCACCTATAACCACTGAAAGCTGTGGTTAAATACAATGAATAAAGTACAAGTGAAATTAAAATCTGTTTTCAAAACTAAGAAATGTGCTTTATATGTTCACAAAMCTCACCCTACTAAGGCAGGGTCCTTCCACAGATAAAATACAAACTGCTTATTTTTGTCTTTGAAATGTAAAAGAAACCAGGGAACATTTGAAAAATACCATCTCTCTTGTCCATTTTCCCTATCACTGATAAAACCAACAACTAGTTCACTTGCATGCAAACAGAAGGCTTTTCCCTTGTTTGAGACGAAAAACTCATCTCGACACCAACTGTTTCTGCAGATGCCTCAGCATCAAAAATGATAGGGAGAAAGCCTGAAAATTCCTGGCTATCTAGGGATGTGACAGTTTGCTGGAATTCAGCTCCATTGCTTTGTGTGACTGAGTGGCAGGTGTCCTTTTGTACAGACCAGCGGGGAACAGTAGAGATGGATCCAGGGTCACTCACCGTCAGAACAGTGAACAGCTCCTCCACGTACACCCTCTCCGTTTCTATAAGCTCATTTATGACATGGCTAAAATAAAGACAGACGTATGTTACTTCCGTGTCTCTCAAAAGACACTCCAGGAAATCAGTAAGGGCAAAGAAGCCCAAAACATAGCAATTTTGTTATCAACCACCRTTGAGAAGTAGAATAAGTGCAACAGATGATACCCATCTCTGGTTGGAGGAATACATGGACAAGGACTGACCAAAAGTAAGCTTCGCTTTGAGTACTTCTGATTTAAGCAGAGTGACAGCTTACCCTTTTAGTATATCTAAGTTGTCATCACTGTCCGAGATAAAAGACTGCAAGGAATTCCGTTTTTCCTGATAATCGTGCATCACTTCRATCTGGAAGAAGAATGGGAGGTGATAGAAAGGGCTGCAGAGAGGTCACTACCAATGCAAGATCAGACCTGCTCCAAGGCCAACACAGGATCTCTAGGCAGAAGGATGGAATTGACTCCTTTTAAGGATAAAAACCTTTAGGAGGTTACAGCATGTAGTGGATAGCTGAATATTCCCAGAGATTATTCCGCTGCATTAAAATCCGAAGCTACTGATATCATAATTCATTAGTGCAGAGACCAAAAGACAGTGACCTCAGGGGAAATAACTTAGGACATGGATTTCCCTTAATAGGCATCACGGTTACGCAAGGAACAAACTCAGGGACTAACACACATGACCAATACGTGTGATACGGACTAACCGAGGTAGCTCTAGGACGCCAGACAAATCTAAAGAAAAATCACCGAGTTTTGAAAGGGTAAATATTCTATATATACATAAAAGAAAAAATGTACTTTCAAACCCAAAAGCTATGTTAAATCAATTTTAGAAGGGTCTGCTACAGATTTTAGCATACAAAAGTCATTCAAAAAATCACTAATAATTTTTACCTTGCGAGAATTTGGAGTTTTTCTTGAAGTTTTCTTTCCAGGGAGAGAAAGATCAAATGAAAACTTCAAACTGGAATTAAAATCCACACCTTGGGTAGAAAAATATATAATTACATCATTTATATCTATAGCGAAAGAGACAGTTCAGAGAGAATCTACAGGGTCACCAACAAAAGCGGGATAGATTTCAAGAGTGAATAATTAGGTATATTACTAGAAGCAAGACAACAAAATAAAAGGCATCTCAAACAGCAATACATAAAGCCATAGTCACATAGTTGGGCATGAAGGCCATAAAGTAAAAACTAACCAGGAAGAACAAAATGTCCATTAAGGGAATAATCAAAATCTAATAAAGCCTGTGCAGCCTCTGCAAATGATAGAGAGTAGTAAAATAAAATAAACTATCATAAGGCACATCACCTACTGGGATACTGATTTAAGTCCGTTTATGAGGATGGCCCAGATGTTCTGCTGGTGGCATAGGCAGTTTCTCCCAGCACAGCTGGGTCGTGGTGCTGTCACCTGGACACAGGCACTAGCACCTCCACCTGGCTTCCCCATATCCCTAAAGTCGACCTAAAATTGTGGGCTTTTGTCTCATGGACCTTAAAAACATATATTTTCAGRTCTTAGAGTGGTCGGAAATATTAGAAATGACAATGTGAAATTCTCAGAGAGACCAAAAATAAATATGTTCTGATGTGCAATATTCACACTACTTGTAAATTAAAAAACGAGCCAGCAAAGGAAAAAAAAAAATAAGCAGATGATCGAATATCTTTCTGTTAGTATGGGGGAAAAAAAGGGAGGGAGAGAGGGACTGCAGCATGGAAGAATAAAAAAGCAGCRCGTTAATCTACCAGCAGCTGGGTCTAAGTTAGACAAAGTTGTGACTAGTACTGATGCAGAAGAACCACCTTTTGTGAAGCAATGAGCAAAAGATGTAGGGAGAAAAACTGATGCAGAGGAATGGAAAGCAGCATGGAGAGCAGGTGCCCCATCTTCAGCATGGGCTGCTACAAGATAAAACGATTACAGGTTATTACACCAAAGAGGCTTCAAACCTCCGCTCGTAAACGTGCCAAATGGAGAAGAAAGGAGTGGAGCACCATGGCACAAGGCGAGAAGATCCAAAGGAATTAGGGTTTAGTGGCGGTCCTGCTGGGAGGCCCCAACCATGGGGAGAGGGCACATGGATAACAACCCGGATGAGAGACAGTCATCAGAGGTAGCTCTGCTGCAAGCCCTTGCAAGGAGAAAAGCTCCCTGTGACCACAGGGTTAGGTGACTACAGCCCTCAGCCTGCTCTTGCACCACCGCTGCTGCGTTTTAGAGTTGAGGATGGGGAGGGTTTAGTCTTTATTTCCCCAAAGGGCCTTCAAAATTAGAACCATGCTCCTCAAATTGTTTTCAAATACGGAGTAAATAATGAAACAGGAAGAGTCTCTCTTCAGATAGAAAAGGAAAAAAATAGGAAAAAAAAAAGAGAAAAGAGAATAAAAAGAATAAAAGCAATGCTCCCCAAGACTGTCAAGTTTCAGCCCATGCCTTTGACCCCTACAGCTCCRAGCACTCTCGGCAGAGCCCAGCCCATGCCTTTGACACTGGACATCCCAACAGAAGATCTAGGGTATTTTCCAGTTTTCTGTCAAAGCTGGGCCTTATTAAAAAAGATCTCTGGGTAGGATGCATCCAAGGCATGACCCTCCATACTTCATCTCTTGCTGGCTATGCTCGTTTCCAGATGCTTGACCATGTCCTCAGGCCCATGATTAACGAAGGACACCCGTGCATTACTCGTGAGGGAGCATCTCTGCTAGAAAAACACGCAACCCTTTAAGCAAGTGCATTGAGCAGCTCTAGCCCATTGGTGACAGTCTCACAAAAACCATCCTATCCCTTAAGTGAAAGCCGCACTTATAAAAAATAGGCTGCATTTTAATTGTTGAGACTTGGAGCTTCCCTCCAGGTGTGAGGCTGGGTAGAGAGGGCACTGTGGTCTCAAGAACGTGGCACTGGCCACATTCAGATGGAAATCTGGGATTTACTTGCAGCACTGGCCTGCATCTAGATCAGCTTAATTCCYCTTTCCACATCCAGGTGAACTCTCCCTTTCTTGGCCTGATTATTGACATTTGTAACTCCCTGAACTGGAGCCACTTTTACTATTTGTGTGTGTTGCACCTACTACTGTTCAAAGTCAATATTCACTACTTCATCGTAAACATTTTTGCATTAAAGCACATCATAACTGTTTAGCTGTTTTATGCAGACAGATTACTGAATTGAATATTGCCACATAAATTAGCACATTCCGGATTTAAAAATATGGATGTTACTTTGAAATGCTTTTAAATTCTGATATATACAGGCTGCTCAGTATGCAAGCTTTCATTTTATAATTCAAAGCTAACATTGTGCCACATCTCATCACTAGAATTTAGGCAGATTCAACAACCTTGATTCCCCCACGATTTGTACATTTATGAACACTAATTATTCCACAATTTGGATTTATGGGAGACACTTTCAAATATTCAAAGGGATTAAAATATTCAAAATACTCAAAACATTCAACTTCTTGCTTATGTTCATGAGATTTAAGTCCTCCCTTTCTCCAGAATCCCTTGCAAATGTCACTCCGATTTTGCATCATTTCTAACTTGAAACAATTAAAGAGATTGCTAATGGGAGCTTTTTGATTTGGAGAATAAGAATGCTAATAAATCTATAAATCCTGCCCTTTTGCCTGTAGTATTAATTCACTAGCTCAGCCCAGTAGGATGCTAGCGAAGCAGAACTGGAAATATGCCCTGTTTATGGCTCTCACTTCACTGGGCAAGAAGTGTGAACACAGAACACGTATCACACAACCAGCCCCAGCCAAGGCAGCCCGAGCTGCAGCAGGGCTTCGGTAACGCAATTCTGCACAAGGAGCGGGAAAAATATTGCATTCATTTCCTTTGGCCATCTTTGCCCATTCTATGTGGGTGCCTTATAAAAACAAGAAAACATACCAAGAAATTTGGAAGCGCCACTATTTTGGAGTTTGGAAAAACATGCAGCACCGCTGAGAAACTTGGAGAGCTATTCCTGTTAGCTGCAAGTACAATGGCATTGACTTCTATACAACCAACCAGCCCATGCGCTTGGCATGAGACTTCCACACTGCTTCCCTCACACAAAAATGGGAAGTTAGGCACAGAAATTGAAAGGATAAGTTAGCTCACAGACATCTGACATTACACAGCAACTCTGCACCAGCCAGGAAGGTSTGTTGGTTCCTCAAAGCTGGCCTTAGCCTTACTCTTCCTGGCTCAGAGCAAAATTAACATCTGGAGGATACCRTAAATTTAAAATATTTTACCGTGTTTGGGAGAGAATAACGGTGATTTTGATCTTGGGGGATTTTCTGGCCGAGGGGCTACTAATTGGACGGGCCGCACATGTTTATCCAACAGCTTCTTGAAGCAAGACTGGCGATTCTCAAACATGCTTCGGACGTTCTCAAGCTTGACCTGCACTGACTGTATCTGGCACTGTGGAGAGCGAAAAAGACTCCCGTGATCAAATAACTACCGTTACCTTCCACTTTGACCCAAAACAGAGCAGCGCAAAGCTGACAACACCGCAACATAGTCCAATCCTACTTCGTTTTACTTACGCGATGAAGAACTTGAGGGGCTACTTACCTTCAACTCGGGCGTCAGGACTGACTCAAAATCATAATGCAGGGCTTGGGCATCGTGGTTTAAGTAGGGCGAGGAGCTTTCCAGAAACCTTTCTATGTCTTGGAGAGCTTTCTGAGCACCTTCTTTGGACTGGCACTTGTCCATCGGCTGGTTAGCGAGCAGGTAAGCGCCTTCGTCGCAGCACTGCAGGGCCTGGGAAGAGCACAGGGAGTGGGGACATGAGCGATGCCCCTGCTAGACCAACCTGCCCGGGACAAGTACCTGTCACATCTTCAGTTCTCCTCTACCAGACCCATAGTTTGAATTTTGGTGCTGCTTGAGATCCGAGAACAAGACAAAAGGCTATATTTTTCTGGAGGGTGACTACACTCCTCACCACTTCTACTGGAGGAAATCAGTAATATGACTGTCAAAAAAAAAAAAAAAAAAAAAGGAAAAGCATAGATTGGTGCATAGCTGAACTATATGACGAAGAGTCTGCTATTTTATCAAACTTAGAAATCTGAAGGGAAGAAACCAGAATTCAGAATGTGATAGGTGGATCTCTTGAGATAAATGSCTGGCTCAGGGCAAATCTGAGATGTGAGGAAAAATCAAAATAATTGCATTCATATTTTTAACAAAATAAGCAGTTTAAATTGCAGTTTACAGTTCTGCATTTAATATACATAAGCATAGCTGGATACGAAGCTCAGAGTTCAGTGAATAATCTCAAACTGTAGCACACACTGGGTCATAACTTCATTGCTTGGAGCATGTTACAGTCCTGTGCCTTCTGGCCTAATTACCATGTGTTATTTTCCCAAATTAATTTTCATGCTGATTAGGGTATCAAAAAGCAGCAGAGCCACATGACTCCACTTCCATGTCAGCACACAGCGGCTGGACACATCCCCTAATCTGTCATCTTATTATACAGCCAGCTATGCTGTTTCTTAATAAATCCCTAATAAAAAAGGCCTGGAGCTCACCTGAAAGCATTACCTCTACTGCACTAAACACTTCAAAAGTCAATTAACACATGGATGCCCTATGAAGAAAAGTGCAAGCAACAGCAGCAGCTGAACTTACATGTTCTGAATTGCCCTCTGGAGACACCTACGTCTTTCTATCGACTCTTTKCAGTACCAAGGGACACCTCCTTGCTACCTGAGCCAGCTAAGTGAGGGGCAAAGCAGTCTCGCTCCCCCAGGGAACACTTTCCTGACACGAATGGCTGAAGCAAAGCTGCAAATTTTAGCTATCTAAAGAGCAGAGAGGGTAACCACATGGAGGGGGTAACTGCTACGTAGGACGCTCTACCTGCTGCAGGCGAGTATGAAGGTCCAAGGTCTTCTGCAGCCGTGTGTTCTTCCTTTTGATCTCCTCGGACAGGAGGTCGGAGTGGTGCCGCAGCTCGTTGCATTGCTGGCAGATGAGGTTGAGCGCGTAGTGATGGTTTGCTGCTAGCTGGTGCCCGTGCAGTATCACCACCTGAGCCTTCCCTATCAGGTCCTTCCGTAACAGCAAGAGACAGGGGCAGGCACTTAGTGAAATAATGACAAAACGTCTGTAAATAACTACACAGGCTTTCTCATTTTCCCTTGTTTCAGATACCTATTAACTGCCATCAGGAGKGGCCAAAGTGGGTGGTTTAGGCAGGGCACGATGGCATCCATTGACAGGGTAAAAAAGCTTTTGCCATCCAAAAGCAGGAAGAAGGAAGAAAAACAAAACACACAAAAAAAAMCCAAAACAAAGCAACAACAAAAAAAMMCAATATTTCACTTAACTGCTTATGCCACGAATGTCTGCTGGATACTCATTGTTGCCATTTCCAGGAATGGTCCTCTAAAAAAATATATCTTACTAAGCAAAAACAAACCCTGCTGTTTGTAATAAGCTTGATGCAAAGACCATACTATCTTACATACACATCTTGCTCAGTTTAATGGTTACTATTATATCGTCTCCAGAGCTGGCTTTCTGCTGGGACTGCTTCCCTGCTGCACTGTTCCTGCTATGTTTTTTCTTCCTTCTTCCACCCTCAAGAAAAAGATTTCCTCCAAATGGCCAAAAAAACCTTAGAGTTTTTCCTCATGGCTAAACCTCATGGCTCTTATTTTCAAGGGAGCTTCAAGAGCTGTGTCCGAATCCCCCAGGGTTTCTCCCCCACAACGAGCACATCCCTCGACAGCAGACACGCTCTCAGCCAGGCTCCCGTGAATCATCTCCCCTCACTCTTCTTCCAGCGATATCTCTTAGCCCTCCTCCAKATGCTGTGTTCAAACCACAGACACGCCGGGTAGCAACTTTTTTGCCTCTCCATGCACCCGTTAACAAGTCTCCGGCTATTAGCATAGCTAAAGCTCTTAACATATAAATAATTCCTCTTCCAGCTCATTAACTCCCACGCCTGCCCTATGTTCAGACATTTATCCGATCTGGATTTTCATGGTGTCTCAGCAATTTATTTTAGCTCTGATAATTAAAGACGTCATTCCTGGCCTGCAGCGCGATCACAGTTTTGCTGCACAGCGCAGAAAGTCCTGAAACCAGCACTTTAGTGCAGCCCATGGCCACAGCRTGACATGCAGTTAGGCCACTCCAGAAAACACCTCCAGAAAATACAGACCACGTCTCTTCCATTTCGGTTGCACCTTGGCTGTTAAGGACCATCTCACCTGAGCCAGTCCATCGAAATGGCCCAAGTCCTTGAGCCTCTGTTTCACTTGGGAGACGCTGTCTCCAGTGTCAGGCACTTCTGCTTGCTGCCCCATTAAAAATTCAATGGCATTTTTGACCTACACACAGAAAAGAAGATTACTGCAAAACGATGCAAAGCAGAGGCAGAACATCACACTCAGACCATAAGTTAATCRCACTGTAGCGCAATAATAAAACTAGAGTCCAAGAACTAATTTCTAAGTTCAAAGATGCTCCTCTCTGTGCAATCTACGTGGCCGCAGGGCAGTGATATTTAAACTAGCTCTGAATGAGGAAGCACTGCAGTTCTCCCAGTCTAGACACCCTGCTTGTCAGAGTCACAGAAAAGCATCATAAATTAAACACCCTCAAGTAATTGCAGGCCTCATTTAGCTGGTTCAGAGCTAGATCTAGTTAATCTCGTTACTTCAGCACCACGTGCTGGAAAGGACTCTAATTAAAAAGCATAATAACTCTCTCCTCTCCCTTTTTCTTCTCTTCCCCTGCCTCTTGTTTCTATCACAGAGGTAGTACATCTGATCCTACCTCTTGAAAACTTTGTTCAAACTTCCAGAGCTGTAAATATTGTTCCATTTTTAACTGGTGCTTTTCCCAGAAGCCGTCAAAAGCAGTCTCCATCTCTCGCAGTTGACCAAGTAACCTGGGGTGCAGAAAGAAGAGAGGATAATCTGTAAACAGAGGATGAGCAAAGAGGAACACGTTCTAAGAGATGCCACCAACTCAGACCTTCTGGGCCCAAGCTCATCCCTCACCCAAATTCAATAGGCACCTACATGTGGCTTGAGGAGACCTCAAAAAGAGCATCATTACAGATGAAAGCATCTATGCAAAGCAGTTGTTATTATCTCAGTTTTACCTGAATGCTACCCCAGCGCCTTGCACTGGAGATCGCTGCATCTGCTCCACAGCTTCAGCACAGAAGCGCACAAACAAGCCAGAGGAGGTCAAAGCTGCTTGACAAAAGTCCCACGGGGGTTCRAGGCTCTGCAGCAGAGCCAGGCTGTCCATTTCCACACCTTTTCCACAGCTGACCTACTCGGTACCCCTCCCTTTGCAACTTGAGTGTTTTCCCTCAAAAATCACCCAAATRAGCAACACTTTGCCCTCACCGATTCACAGTTTCCCAGTCCCCGGGTCTCTCACGGTGCAGGTCCTCACTGCATTCATCAGCGTCGGGCTCTTCTAAAGTACTTAAAAGCAAGTTTCCTTCTTTTTTGACTGCTGTAATATCCTCCTGCGTGACACAAACGTTGCTGAATCAGACCCGTTTTGGTGAGCACAGCCATCTCCCATTTCTCCCSCCGCCTCAGTTTCCCTGCAATGCCCCTTCTCCAGCGTCCTCATCATCCTGGGACACAAAGCCTTTGCTCGCATGCTAGCTACTAGAGCCCAAGTGTCAAACAGGCATTAACTTGATTTTTCTCTCATTCAGTTTACCAAAAGAGGTTAGTTTCTAAATTACCCCATTTAAGCAATTTCTGTCATTTTTTTCACTGCATTTGCAACTGTTCAAATGGCTTCTGTTCAGGTACATAACTGAGCATAGCTGTTCACAGCTTCCTAAATTGTTCTGCTCTGCCCATTATTTGCAGGCAGGAATCAGCTGTACCAGCCCTTTGGTTGTCAAAAGGATCYCATGTGTCGCTGTCATCTCAATCTAGGCACAGTTGCTCATCTACTTTCATCTTTCATGATCTTAGAAGGTAAGCCAAAAACAAAAAAGCCAAACGGTCTTCATTTCAGCCAAAAGCCAAAGAATGGTTTTGATATTCTAAATTAATGGATCAGCTATTAAAAGCAACAGATGCCTTGTACCAAGTACTGCTGTGCTTTATATGCTAATGAAAACACACGATATTTTCCATTTCCCCACAGGGAAAAGTGCATATTACCAGTCTGTTTATATACAGGATTAAGTTCTCTAATTGATCTTTGTTCTCCACACTTTGGATATACTTCTAAGGATTACATTTAAATTAAACACATGGCAGCACACATAGCTGTTGCGTTACTATACCTCCTGTTTGTAAAGAAGAAATAGAGGCCCATTAGCCGTATATATAATTATACTTCCCATRCACTGGCGCACACACCTCTGTGCCTCCACCCAGTCCCTACTGGATGTCACTTTGCTTATTTCTCACTGGCAGCCTTTTGGAAAGTCTCCATCACACAAATGACAAACGATTATAAATGAAAATARACACCCTTCAATTTATACAACCATATTCTGTCACAGAGCAGAGGACCTCATTCCTGAGCCCCACAGCACTGCCCCGAACAGGGGAATTCTGTCTAGGAAGCAAAGGTTTGGTGATGGGGCTGAGGCTGTCCATGGAAATGCACAGGGGCAGGGCAGCAAAGGTAAGAGCTGGACAGCAGCAACTGGCTGCACCAAATCTTCCATTAAACTTGGCTACAATTTTAACCACAAATAGTTTTAAAAAAACTTGAAATTTTAAACAAGCAAAAGCTGTTTCATATGAAACACAAAGGCAGATGTTAAAGCAGGGATCATGCCATGGATGCTGCACGCTGTGCATCTTGCACAGTACATGCTCCCCAGACCTTGGATACCTTCTCCAGCCACTGCAGCTTTGGAAAACCCCAGGGCAACCCGCAAGGTACATGCAGCAAGGGTTGGTGCCAGCCGCTCCTGGATGCCCAGCAAAGAAGTGCTGAGATGGAAAACACTTCGGACAGCAGCTTCTGCAGCCGGTGAGCAGGCAGCAGCTGAGAGCGCTCGCTGCATGTTGGCGCAGTAATTTCGAGGAAYGAAAGGCAGATGCAAGCGAACCACAGAGCAAGAGCCCCGCTGTGCTTTGTCCGTCAACACGCAGGGGAGGAGGAGTGGGCAGCGAGGAAGGCAGCGGGCAGAGCCGTGCGCGCGGCCGTACCTTGAGCTGGCAGTACTTGTCGGTGCGCAGCGCCAGGATGCGCTCGATCGAGTACATGTCATCCGGCAGCTCYGTCTCCGCCAGCTCCGTGCCGAAGCACTGCAGCATCTGGGCGATCTCCTTCACGGTGAGGGCAAAGCTCTCTATTGCCTGGGGGGAGACACGCGCAATCAGCTCGGGATTCAGGGTGCTCCCGACGACAGCAAGATGCCAGGCTGAGATCTGCAAGGAAGTCTCGCATTGAGGACAAATAATCTCATTCTTCACATTCTGCTGCCCGTCCTTAGGCACCATCACTTTTTCCCTAACATATACTGGAGGAATAGAGTAGGATCCACCCAAAGATCCAGCTCTCAAACTTCTGCACTGCCATCACCCATCTAGCAGCTCAACATTTTCGTAGATGAACTTTCCACATTCTCGCCGTGCTGACAGCTAACGCGTGAGAGCTGTGTCGTCGCTGATGTAACACACTGTGCAAAAGAAAAACTGAGAGGAAAGAGGAAAAACTGAGGAAAAAAGTTTTTTCCTCATTTTTTTCAGGAAAAAGTTTTCAGTTTTTTCARGAAAAAAAAATGAAAAATTCATGCAGGTGGCAGCGCACCAGCATAAAGGGGCACGAAATGTAGCTTAAACCCTTCCAGCAGCAGCATCTTGCTCTCTTCCCTTCCCACTGAGTGCCACATCTGCCTGCATGGATGATGCTGCAGGGCAGGGGCACAAGGATCAGCCAGGCACATGTTTTCATCAGAGTTTTGAGTAGTAACTGGGTTTGAGTTTGAGGGTAACTGGGAACTGAGCCTGTCAATAAAGTGCGAGCAGATACCAAGGAAATCCAAGAGAATACAGAAAAAAACAGACAATATGAGCACAGAAATGCATGGCACGGCACAGAACAGCTTGAGGGATTAAATGCCTGCTTTTGGAGATTCTGGCAATATTAAAGGAAAATTCTTGCAAAGAGGAAGAAAACAGGAGTCTTTTGGAATTCAATGTGCAGAAGTGTCCCTATTGCCCTAGTTAYCCCAAACATTTACAATATTAATTAYCTGAAGCAACCACTATTAAAAAAAAAACACATTTGGCATTTACCATGACGGAAATTCTAATGAAGACTTAAGATGACAAATCTTCCGGGAGCAATTTCAAAAGGAGCCTAAGGGAGCTAATCATCCAACTCCCTTATAAGCCCATTGAGCACTGAAGTCCACTTCTTTGCASATCTTAGTGAGAAATGCCATTGCTTCAAGGGCCACTTTTGGCTACCCAGCACTCGCTACCCCTTGGGGGACACACAGGCAGGGCTGCTGCTCTCACCCCTTTGAGGAGCAGCCCTGTCCTTGCCCCGCGCCGGGCACGCACCGTTCGGAAGATGACCCACTCGCTGTGGCAGTACTCCAGGGTGCCTCCGAACTCCGGYGTGAGCTGCTTCTCATCGATGTACGTCAGCAGGTCGCTGACCGAGCTCAGCATAACCACCTGCAGACAAGGGAACGCTGAGAACTGTCGCGCACCGCTTCTGTTCCACACACAAATCAAGCCTGGAAATCTTTATGCATCAAAAACAATGAGTTTCCCTTCATATTATTGGASAAGAGGGCCTTCTTTTGGTGCTTASAGYTTAGCATGGCTTTTATTTTATATATTTCACACTTTTTGAAGCCAACCCTAACACCCCAGCTGCYTTCTTCTTTAAATGCAAAATACAGCGAGATCTTGCAGGACCTGACTGCAGATCAGAGTCAAAACAAAGCTAAGGCATGTCTTTTAAGATGATGCTTTTTACAGTCATCTGGGAAAAAGCAGAAGTTTTAACACCTCTTAAAGCAGTGGCCAATTACATATAAATATTTATTCGTGATTTTCTTTTACCGTCTTGAGCTTTCCTGTGATATGAATCATGAATTTTCAAAACTGTGCAAGTGATGACTGTTTTAGAGTGAAAAATGCAGTTTGTTAAAGCTATGTTCTTTCCTAGAGAAAAAAAACACAAGTGTGCTTTGTGAACTTATAACTGCGTTGGCCTTGGTTTCTCTCARGGAATATTTCTCTTTGTCTTAATTATGCTTGCTAGGTCCTAGATGTAACTGCAGGCACTGCTGCCCCCGGGCTCCYGGTGCACACTCATTCCTGGTGTTTGGATGCACGTACCGGTAATTTGAGTAGGAAATCCTCCTGACTAAACCGAAAGCCAATGTCAGTGAAGGTGCGTTGGAAAAACCCCGTGGGACGAAGAACCATCACTAAGTGCAGGCTCCCTGGGAAAGACGCCTGCAAGAAAGCAAAGACCACAATCAACCCGGGCACCCGAGGGATCAATCACCATTAGCAAAAGTCTATAAAACAGGGGGAAAACAAGCAAACTTTGRTGTAGTTTCTTTTTTCCTCCTCCTAATTGCCCCTGACTGCTCCCTGCTTCCACATATTACTTGCCTTTTTCTCATCTGCTAAACCAGACTCCGTGTTTCCCAGGGCAAGGAGGCATCCTGCACTCCAAGCACTTGCAGGCTGCAATCCCACCACGGGGCTGAAAGGCTTTTGCACGCTCATGTATATCCCAAATGAGGGGAGATATTACCAGTACATCCAGATATGGGACTTACTAGTAAAAATATCATGCAGATCCACTTCCCTTTGTAATGGGCAAGAGCTCCCCATTTGCCCTGGGGAGCCACTGATAATAATAAACTTTAAGACTTTATATTGAGTCCAGCACCGTAACTGAGAGAGACTAATTATGATTTGTCAAGGAACAGAAGGCTGGAACGTCAACGGGAATATCCAATAGACCAGGAATACACAGTTTATTCCCAGACTCACTAATCATCCCATAACTGCATTGAGCATAATCTGCTAGTTCTCGGTAATTACGAGGCAACATTTAATTTGTAGCAAGAATTTGGAATTTCCTGCCTGTGCTGCTAGAGCCTTTTTTTCCAAGCATATGGTTGGCAGGTGCATTTAAATAGATCAGCGAAAGAGATGCTTGAGAACGAAAAAGAATTTCTAAGGAAGTAGGAGTCATATCATTAAATTACRGATTGATGCATGAGGCAGAGACCTGAGTTAATTAAGAAGTACTGTTAAATGCTGAAATGAATGCTAAAAACTCTCAAGCACAGTAGCAGGCTGGGGCTGGGCCTCCCTGGGACCATTCAGCTCCAGTCCAGGGACGGTGGTGGCTCTTCTCCAGCTTGCAGACCCAGCTACATTGGTGTTGTATTGAGGAAGCTGTGAGGTGGCCACACGGGAAGGAAGGTGACAGTAGCATCTACACCATGGATCAGGGCATTTAATCTCTTCCTTTGAAACATGGATTGTTTCTTTAAAAATGCAATTAGTGTTTAAAAATATATACACACACAGAGATATATATATATATAGTTCAGCTCTGACATCCCCGAGTTACTCTGTACTTCACTTGCTGCTTTTTCTTTCACAGCAAAGTTCTGTTGTAGCTTCTGCTGCCCACAACTCTGCTTAAAAACAGACAATGACTTCGAGGTTAAAATAAGCCACATAAATTCAATATAWTGATTTGCAGCTATTTTAAGTAGAAGTGTAAAAAGTAAGGAAATGGAAGYGAATGAAGTGCCAAATTCTGGCTGCGTCCAAAGGGGCTTTTGGAAGCAGCAAGAACTGTGCCAGGGATAAAGATTTGGCGTCAAAATCAAGAGTTTCTCAGACATTTTAAACCTCAGCTTCCCAGGTTACTAGAGAGAAAATCGCCCACAGGCTCCCAGGGATTCCCAAGGAGCCGGAGACGTTTCTTGCTTTCCGAAATTGAGCGGAAATTTCACCTGGGATGCAGAAAAGCAYGACCAGAACTGGCACCGGCTTCAAACATTTGGAATGAACTGAAGATTTACAGCATAAATATTTCACTAGGGAGGTTCTGGCCAACTCAGCGTTCATTCTCCAAGCCGGCCCAGCGGAGGCGGCCGCCTCTCCTGCCTCAGYGCGCGGCTGCCTGCTGGGCTCATCCACTGCTGCTCTTGCTATTTTGGGYCCGTGGGCTGATCTGGGCAGTCCTTACTACTCCTGTTGCTCTGGCATGTCCCACAGCATCGAGGGCTCCCACATCTTGGTCTGCATCCATGGTGATGCCACCTCCACCCGGCAGAGCTGCAAGACTTTCCTATGGCATTCCCTTGCTCCAACCACTTTTCCTCTCATAAGCCTCACATCACAAACTGGTGGTTTCCCCATGGGCATTTCCCTGCAAACAGGACAACAGCAAGTGCCACCAGCAAGATCAAGGAGCCACCACAAGCTGCAAACAAATGGGAATGGACAGGTTGTTTCCAATAAGCCTTCTCTTTCCAAGGTAGGTCAGGTTCCCTCCGGCATTAATAGCCCAAGCTGAATTGAACCATGTCCTTTGAGGCCCATAGTCTTTGAAGGAGCTCAGAGGAGACAGCTTTAGGCCCTCCTTCATGGTCACCAGTCTATCATTGGGACTTCACATCTGGATTCACCTAAGTGTTTGGGGAAAGTCACTGCTTCCAAATGAGAAACCCAGAAGTATGTGCAGAACTTGGAGCTTCAGGGTCCTAGTGTAATCTTCTCATGAAGAAGGCATCAGGAATATCTTTGAAGACAACAGTCAGCAAGAGATGCATCCTGCTTTGGTCTTATCTCATTTTCCTCTTGAATCATTAGCTTCATTTAACCCTGGTCATCATTTCAAGCAGTGATGAGTCTGTTTTGCCCACCCTTTCTTTCTAGTCTTCATTTCAATCGCATCTTTCCCACAAAGAATCCATAGAAACTGGGCTTGGATCTCTGAACTGTATCTCCCATTGGGAAGCTAGGGAACGTGGACCTCTTTACGCTTGGGCCCTGGGATGGGAAATATGCAGCTCCAGGAAGAGAAACCAGTGATCAGGAGGCAACCAGCGCCRAGTGCCACGAACACTCTGTAATATCTGTAAGGTCTTAAACATCTGGGCAGCAGAGGTGCTTTTAGGTATCCTGAGTTTCAGGAATAAAGGGATGCCAACACGTTCCAAACACGATATAGAATGAGGCCATAATCCGATGGTCATATCCTTCTGTCTCAGCCAACCAACAGGCAAACTTTTCTTTAATATAACAAACCGTATGTCCTATATGAGCACAACTGTATCCCTGTAGGTTTCTCCCTCAGAGGTAGCTGCATTTGGAGRACGGGTAACTTGATTAGTGGTAGAAAAAATTTGGGGATTTTTCTGATGATCTTATAAGATCAAGGTCAGCATTTATGGGCAGGTTAAAAAAAATAAAAATACATTTTTTGCAAATGCTACCTAATATATTTCAAGACAGTAAAAAAAAAATAATAACTTGAAATAAAAGAGCTACCAGTCAAACTGTAACCTGTGTCCTTTTTCAGACTCAGGGGAAAGCATGAAAAGTAACAAATAAATCAATAAAAATATAGACCGGTAATTCCTCAGGTATACATTCCTGAAGGAATTATATCTTTTTTGATCACTACTAGAATCCTAGTTCTTTTAAGTGCCAGAGTCTAGAGCAGTTATCTGCAGATTTAACTCTAATAATACTGAAGTAATGGGAAGGAAGGAAGGAAGGAATGGAGGAAACTCTCATCTGTAACCTATTCAAGAAAGTAAAGACAGAAACATCCTCACCTTACCTTACTGTTTATCTAATTATTTATAAAGCTGAAAAGAATCTCAAGCATTTGACAAACTCAGTGAAACAGAAACTAAGGAGTAACCCCAAACTCTTTGTCCTCTGCTATTTTTCTGCAGTGTACCAGGAAGGACAGAAAATTATCTGCCTTTCAGACCAATATATCACGTAGTTGGCAACGTTTTGCTCCTACAACCTCACTGGCAAAACGACACATTGAGAAAATTCCTCAAGTCCTGGGGACACAAATGTGTTGAGGTCCCAGTGCAGCAGCTGGTTTAAATGAGAGCTCAGGTATGGGCATGCAGGTAGCCCTGATAAAATCCATACCTACAAAGTGTGCTAATGAGGAATCCACAGGAATGGATTATGTTGAAAGCATCCTGGCTGTTATCTCCTTTGCAAGCATCTCATCCTAACCACATATTTAATGTGGCTGGAGGAATTCCGCTTTCAGGGCATGTTCTTCCCTGCAGCTCACAGGGACATTTGTGAGGCTGGAAGTCAAAAGGGCTAAAGAAAAAGTAGTATCTGCCACTGAGTTTCTGAAGAACAGAAATTGGAGAAGCGCTGGCCCTTGTGCAGAGGCTGAAGTTAATGACTTTCTTCTGTCCTTTAAGGGAAAAATCACACAATAAAATGCCAAGTACCGCCAGCCTGAGCTTCAGCTTCCCTCAGAATGAATCTCCCTAATGTTCTGCCACCTTTCCGGGGCTGGCTGCAGGCTCAGCACCTGCAGAGGCCGTGAAGGTGGCCGGGGAGCTCTGCACCGCCCGGCTCTGCGGGCAGCGCCGCAACTCCAGCCCTTGGGAAGCCATCGCGGAGCCGCACTGCTCCAGCACTGCTGCAGCGCCCGGCTCCTCCCGCGCCGACCAGACCACCGCGGAGCTGCTCGGGGGGCTCCCCCGGCCCCCCATTCCCGCGTTGCGGCAGCGGGCGCGGAGCGCGGCCCGGCCCGCGCTGCCCTTGCGGCACCGCATCCCTCCTTACCGCATCCCTGCGGAGCCGCCGCGGGGCCGCCTCCGCCATGGCCCCCGC